CTTCCCCTCCTTTGTTGACCACTGTCACATTGAAGGGACTGTAATTAATGTCACTAAAGAAAACGTGTAGAAATTGTTGAACGGAAGACTAATATGCTCTGTACGCTTTCATCCAAATCACAACAAACAAACAAGTATACACACTCACACAACAAACATATACACATATGCACACAGAAAAACCTAGACAGATATTTACTACCAATGGTGGTTTCTGGGTAGTGGGAATACAAGGTCTTTATTTTATTACATATAAGTAATTTCGGCTTATTTGTATTTCTAATTTTCTACAGTATACCTATTTCCTCTGTAATTTAAAAAAAAAAAAAGCATCAGAAATTACCAGTAAGATCTCTCCTCTGCCTAGCTCCAAAAATTCAATAAGTAAATAATTCTTAAAATATGGCATCACACTTTGCAACAAGAATGGTGATGGCTAAGGGATAATCAAGCACACCATCTGTGCTGTTGTTGGGTCCCATCGAGTTGCTTCTGACTCATGGCAACCCCGAGCACAACAGAATGAGACACTGCCCAGTCCTACACCATCCTCACAATCACTGCCCAGCCCATCACTGTAGCCACTGTGTCGATCCACCTCATTGAGGGTTTTCCGTTTTTCACTGACTTCAGCTTTGTTGTCATGTGCTATTGAGTCGGACCCGACTCATAGCGACCCTTCCTTGGGTTTCCGAGGCGGTATCACTATGGAAGTAGATTGTTCAACCTTCCTTCAGAGGAGTGGCTGGTGGGCGTGAACCGCCAGCCTTCTGGTTAGCAGTCAAGTGCCTTAGGCATTACGCTACCAGAGCTCCTCCCAACTTTACCAAACACGATATCCTTCTCCAAGGAATGGTCCCTAGTGACAACATGACCAAAGTACGAGAGACGATGCCTGGCTATTTTTGCTTCTAAGGAGCATTCCAGCTACACTTTCTCCAGGACAGACTTGTTCATTCTTCTGGCAGTCCATGGTACTTTCAGTATTCTTCACCAACACAACTCAAAGGCCATCAATTCTTTGGTCTTCCTTATTCACTGTCCTGTTTCCACATGCATATGAGGCTACTGGAAATATTACAGCTTGGATTAAACAAAAAAAAAAAACACCTAAACTCACTGTCGCGGAGTCGGATCCAACTCATAGCAACCCTTCCTTGGGTTTTGGAGGCGGTATCTCTACGAAAGTAGATTGCCCAACAAGGCACACCTTAATCTCAAAGTTTTCCAGTCATATACCAGACAGTGTTTCACTGCTATTCATAAGGTTTTCATCAGCCAGTTCTTTGAGAAGTGGATGGCCCCTTCCTTCTTCCTAGTCACTGAGACCTGTCCACCACGGGTGACCCTGCTGGCATTTGGAATACTGGTGGCATAGCCTCCAGCCTCACAACACGCAAGCTACCACAGTGTGACAAACTGACAGACAAGTGGTGGCGAGGATGTCATGCTTGGTAAAGTGGAGGGTCAATGCAAAAGAGGAAGGCCCTCAATGAGACGGATTGACACGGTGGCTGCAACGATGGGCTCAGGTATAGCAGGGAATGTGAGGCTGGCACAGGACTGGGCAGTGTCTAGTTCTGTTGTACACAGGGTCGCTGTGAGTCGGCACTGACTCAACGGCACCTAACGATAACAGCCTTCACAGTGACACCTTTCCTCTTTAACCCTTTAAAGAGATCTTTTGCAGATTCTCTCAGTGCAGCATGTTGCTGATTTCCTGACTGCTACCACGGGCATTAATTGTGGATCCAAGTAAAACGAAATCCTTGGCAACTTCAATCTTTTTCTATTTATCATGATGTTGCTCACTGGTCCTGTTGAAAGGGTTTTTGTTTTCTTTATCTTGAAGAGTAACACATACTGAAGGCTTTGTGCTTCAGGTCTTGATCATTTTCAGCATGCAAGGTTGTGTCATGTGCCTATCACAGGTTGTTAATGATCTTCCTGGATCACTTCCACCTGTGGAGTAAAGAATTTCACTTTGCCCAAAGAGAGGCTGGCCATTGCCCTCGGCGACTGGGAGATGATCTCTAGGTCCTTACAATATGCTGCCTGATAAGAGTGTCTTTGTTTACCTGGAAAAGAGCCTGGTGGGGTAGTGGTGAAGCACTCAGCCACTAATCAAAAGGTTGGCAGTTCAAACCCACCAGCTGCTCTGTGGGCAACAGAGGTGGCAGTTTGGTCTCTTACAGATTACAGCCTTGGAAACCCTATGGGGCAGTTCTACTTAGTCCTGTAAGGTCGCTATAAGTCAGAATCCACTCAATGGCAATGAGTTTGGCTTTTCTCTGTTTTGTTTACTTGGAGGCCTTGGCCACTAGATGGTCTAACAGTGTGATTTATGAAAAGGGCTACATGGATCCACTCTACTCTGGAAGGGCTGGAAATTAAATGTCACACATGGCATCAGTTCCACCTGCAGACATGTTGGAGACCAAAGGTAGCAAATCTGCCTCCAGAGGACCTGGGAGCTAAAACTCAGCTGTACAGGAAGTCAGCCACGGAGACCCAATGAAACTCTGGCCACGAAGGCTTGGGTGAGCGTCTCTGGTTGGCAACACTCCATGGCCATGGTCACACACAGTTGCTGAGTGGACTTGACACTGCCCATGACTCCACAGGGAGAGGATAACTGGACATGCCACGTCTGGAACCCTCCTAGACTCTGTCCCCTGAGTCTCTTCCCTTGGCTGATTTTAATCTGTATCTGTTCCCTATAATAAACCATAACCATGAATACAAAAGCTTCCATGAGTTCTTCTAGCAAATTATCAAATCTAAGGGTGGTCCTGGGGACCCCAAATATGCAATTGGTGTTAGAAGTGAGGGTGGTCTTCTAGACGGTGCTCCCTCTAACACTGCACCATGAAAATTTAAGGGAAAATGACTTGCAAACCTAACTTTCATTCTAGAATCTGACCAGCTAAAGTGTTAATCAAAAGGAATATGGGAATAACAACAACAAAAAGAGTAACGACATTTACACAGATGCAAGGTCTTTCTCAGAAAGCTACAGGAGGATGTGCTCCGCCAAAAAGAGGAAGTAAACCAAGAAAGGGAGCTCCCAGACATGGGGGAATCCAACAGAGGAGAGAGATGAAGGGAATTCTCAGAAAGGACAGTTGTGTAGGAAGGGGTAGGGCCCAAGGAGGAAAGACCAGAGCGAGAAACAGATTGACAGATGGTGGGAAATGCCTGACTGTGGAAAATTTTTGAAAGTACATGGAGAATGCAAACAAACACACACATAAACACAAGATTTTTTTTTTTTTTTTTTTAAAGAGAACAAGTTGAATTAAAGAAAAAAGCACATTCACAGAAGGTCACTAAGCAGAAAGCAGTCAACATTCTACCAGAATGGGAGGGAATTCCGGAAGGTGAGGGTTTTTGTTTTCTTCACTTCTCTATCCCACAAAGGCACTCAGAAAACATTTCCTGAACAAAGTATCTGTTGCATTAACAGAAATTTAACCAAAAAATTACAATATGACTATGTTGGGAAGATGGGATGAGAAACAGCAGAGTGGTTTTAGAAGCGAGTTGGATTCTCACCTACTAGGCTAAGAAAACATAATAGATAATGTTTGTAAGAAGCACCTGAGAAAAACAGAGGCCACACTGGAAGAAACAGCCAAACAGTGGGAAAGCGGTATCGCTGCAGGGACTGGGGACCCAAGGCGGGGGAGGGGGGCAGGGGGAAGCAGAGGATGGCTAACGTTTCATGCAAACCTTTCAATATCTTGACTTGTTCAAGCAACTCAAATAGTACTATGACAAAAAAAAAATCTAATATTTAAAAATCAAGTTTATTCCTTTATAATCACAGTTCATACTGAAAGACGGGGAGGAGAGGGGGTGGGACAGGCTGAGGAAGCTCGTGGCAAGGAGGCCGGGCCTGGGGAAGGTCTTCCTAACACTTCCTGGGTCACAGGAGGTCAAACTGTTCATGAAGTCAGAACCCTAAGCAGAGGGAAGACCCAATTCTGGGACTCTGTCTTCAAGGCCTACAAATGAGTCCTTAACCCCTCTTCAAGATCCACACAGAGACCACAGCTGTCCCATCTGCTACCAATGGCTGCCTAGCTGAGCAGGTTAGCACAGGGTAGAATCCACGTTAAGTGTACAGCCCCCACCAGCTAATGTTTGTGGTGGCAGGCTTCCTTCCAAGGGTACAGAAAGATCACTGACCCTGGGCAGCCATGTGGTCTAGCAGGCCCGTGCCTGCCCCTGAGTCACAGCTGGCAAGAGCACCATCAGAGCAGCTACCTCTCCAAGGGACCAAAAGCTGTTCCTCACCACTGTCAGAGCAGCTGGGAAAATGAACAACGACCATCAAAGTCACAGTAGCTCCTGTCTAGTGGTTGCCTCATGAGGGTCAGGCATGTGTGCCGCCATTGTATTTAATCTTCAAAACCACCCAAGATACACACACTACGAATTTCACATGCCCATCTCCCAGGTGAGGAAACCAGGCCCAGAGAGGTTAAGTAACTTGCTAGTAAGCAGGGGAGCTTACATTTGAACTCAGGCCATTCTATCCCCAACACTTCACTTGGGCTAGTACTCAAAGCTGAAGGTTCCACCAACTCACTGAAGACATGTCTATTGCATGTCCACTGTATGCCAGGCACGGTATGAGAGGCTGGTAAGTGTGAACAAACAGGGGCCCTGCCCTCACAGTGCACAGTCTGGTAGAATAGCTAGGGCTCCAACAAGTGGCAAACAAACCCATGATGAAAGACAGTGATGACTACAGCAAAGAAAACCACGGATTGAAATGACAGAGAAAAACAAGGGTGGACCCACTGAGGAGAACTTTTCATTGACTCGATTACTCAGGTCTGATACCTCAGGACTGAGGAGCCAGCCATGCAGAGTTCAGAACGAAGGTGTCTTCATCGTGCCAGAGTAAGGAGGTACTCACCCCTTCTAGAGCCTTGTCCCAACCTCTATCACCCCTTCTAGAGCCTCGTCCCCACCTCCAAAGAGCCTGATACCTGGACGATATAGAGGCAGGGACAGTACTGGGCCCCCCCTCCGATGCTGATGCCGATGAGGTTCTGAGCATCCTTCTGGAGGGTCACCTTCCCAGGCACAGTAGGGATTCCACTAGAAAGAGAAGCACAAGGCTGAAACTCCCGGAGGGCGCAGGCCAGGAGGCCCCTCACGACCCCCGAGAGGCCCCAACAGCTACAGAACCTTCGCTCCTCCTCACTTGACCAGAAAGGCAGCACTTTGTTCAGGAAAGTGCACAGCTTTTGGAGTCATGCATATGTGAGATCAAATCATAGCTCTGTCACGTATCAGCTCTGGGACACGGGTAAGTCACCCTCCCTGCACCTCAGTTTGCTCGTCCATAAAATGAGAAAGAGGCTGCCTTATGATCAGTTACTGTGAGAAGGGCATGGAGGATACTTAACACCCACCCAGGGCACAGCAGGCCCTCCAGAAAAGCAGTTCCCCTCCCCTTTCCTTCATTCTATGGCCAAGACTTTATGCAGGCTCTGTCCTTGTCACCCTCCTAGGGGCACAGGGAACATTATGGTCACTTGCTCTGGAAGGACCTCCCCTGTGCAACTACCAACTTCCCATCTGCTAACTATTACATCTCAGTTTTCACTATAAATCAGCAAGTATTTATGGTTTATGGTAAACAGTCTCGTTTACTCACTTATTCTTGTTCCGAAGCAGCATATATTCTAATGGGCAGACAAGCCTAATTTTTAAAATTTTGTCCCACTAATTGTCTAGACCAGGAAGGTATGGTTATGGCACTCCTATTCATCTTTCAAAACCCAAGCTCTTTTGTCACCTCCTCTGTGAAGCCTTCCCTGAACATCCTGGCAGAAGCACTGCTCCGGCCGCTCCACTGTCCTTGTACCAGACCACTCTCTACTGCAGCCCTTCCAGCCCTGAGTTGTAATTGTCTGTTAATGTGTCCACACTCCCCTACAGATGGTGAGTTCCTGACCTGGAAGGGTTCTGTCCCAGCACGAGCCCTGACACCCCACCCCACCCCACCTCCGCTGAGAAGCAAGGGTTTGGGGAACCGAGAAGTCCAGGGATCTGGAGGTCCTGGGGCTCCTGCACGCCTGGGACTTGGAGGAACAAAATACTCACAGTTTATCCTCCTCGATGTCATAATCCAAGTCTGCAAACATGGTTCCGAAAGGTGGGATGGGCTGGCTACCTGCCCAGCTCGGCAGCGGAATGGGGAACTGAAGCCAGGAGGGAAAGGAGGGTAGGGTTAAGGGAACCGAAGTACCAGTGTGCGAGTCCCAGCCCCTCAGATGCCGGGAGAGCCGGGCCCTCTCCCTTCTCTCGGGACCATGGTCCTGCCGGGGGCTGGCGGTGATTCTTACAAGGTACAAGGGGGATCTCCAGGCCAGGGTGACGGGCTCAAATCCCAAAGTCCGCCCCACGGGTCTTCGGGGCCTTGCAGGCTGCCTAGGTTGCTCACCGGAAGCGTCGGTCCCACAGCCGGGTCCGGGCCAGGCTGGCACCTGAACCCACCTGCCGTTCCACCTGTTGGCGTCCGCGACTGTCACGTCACTTCCGGCGAGACAGGGAAGTCCCGCCTTCCCTCTGCCCGGTGTACTCCCCCTAATCCCCGCAGGCAGCCCTTCTCGCTCTGGCTGCTGCGGCTCCCAGAACCAGAAAACAGAACAAGTATGGGAAGGAACTGCTGTTGGTTAAGAAGAAGCGGAAACAGAAGAAAGGGCTGGACCGGCTGGCTGCGCTTAGTCCCACCCCTTGCCCTGTCACCGCCGCCATCTTGGTAAGGGCAGGATTCCTCCCAGCTTCCTCTGCGGAACGCAGGGGACCGCGTTGGCCCGACAGTTGCCACGGCAACGAAAGCATCCCGGGGTCGAAGACCTCTGGCGAAGTTCAATGAACTACAGCCCCGAGACCTTCCTGTTTACACTTTCTGCATACGGGCCTAGACCAACCTGGGGACTCCGTTAGTCCTGTACAGAGCTGGAAGGGAGCTTTGATCTCAGCTCAACTTCCTTTTCCAGCAGGAAACTCAGTTCCACAGAGGGGAAGTGATTTTGTCTAGTGCAACCCAACATTGATATAAGATCCAGATCTTGAGCCTGAAACTCCTGTTGCCCAGTCCAGTGCCCTTAACAACGACACACTAGACTGGCACTCAGTGGACCTGCTACTAAGGACAGATCTGACAAGTTCCCTTCCATTCCCCTTACTTGCCTCCGTTTCCCGGTATACTAAGGACATGGGGGTAGATGCTCCCATCATCCCCTCCAGGACTATGGTATTTGCTCACTGATTTCTTGCCCAACCTCCTTCCTTCGAGATCAGGAGCAGCCCCCTGGGGTCTCAATGAGGGTCACAGCCCCCCAGGTACCTGGGGCTCAGGAAACACCATCAGCACTTCCCATCCGAGGAGTCTGAATGCCCCGTCCCTGCCAACCTGTGCTGCCATGGCTGTTGTGTAGAGTGGGTTCCCTGGAGCAGGTTGGCTGTCCCAGAGCTGGGGCCCTGTCATCCATCTCATCCAGGCAGCAGGGTAGGGTGGGGGGTGTAGACCTGCCCAACTTGCTTCCCTGGCTGCCCCCAGGGGCTGTGGAGGAAGGATCATTATGCCTGTATCCCAGGCCTGCCCGAAGCCCTGCCCCCCTCTCTCAGCAGATGTGCACTTCCCAGTTCAGATCCCTTTCACCGGTTTTAAGTTTAAAGTTCACCACATCCTTGGGAGGGGAGAAGAGTATTGTCAGTCACAGTTTTCAGGTAAGGAAACTGAGGCTCGGACAAGCAGCTTCCCCTCTTGCACAGATGGTTCGTGGCTGGGCTAGGACTGGAACCCTTGGCTTCCTCCACAGGCCTGGACCACTGAGCCCTGTGTTTAGACCAGAATTTCTGTTTTCAAAAAAGCAGCATCTTCATAATGTTTAAAATTGTATATACAATTATGTCTTTGTGTAGAAGCTATATTATAAATGGATAGACGCTGATTAAAAAAAAAAAAAAAAGCATCTTCCAGGCCAGATACTTTTACATGGACTGTGGCTCTCCCACCCCGGGACAGCCCAAGGCTCAAGCCTGAGCTCTGCTGCTTTGTAGCTGGGAAATCTTGGGCAGGGCACCTTCTGCCCCTGAGCCTCAGGTGATTGTTGGTGAGGATAAGGATCCTTCCCAGGATGCATTTATGAAGACAAAGACAAAAGGGAGAAGTGGGGGGTGAGGGTGTTTTGTGCGGGATTCACGGGACATGGATGTCCGAGATTGTTACTGTCATTCCTCATAGTGTTATTTTACACAATTAAAGGGGCTCAGGGGGCTCAGGCCCCTGCCTCAGACACATCTGGGAAGTGTCTCGAATGCAGGTTCCTGGGCTCCATCTCAGACCTGTTGGGGCAGAGTCTCTGCAGATGGGCTCTTGGTAGCTCCATTTTCACAAAGCTCTAAAGGTGACGTAATGCCTCTTGCAGGTTATCAGGGGCTCAGAAGGTAGTGTCTGAGCAGACTTGGGGTGGGCCTGTTCAGGTCCACCAGCGATCCCTGCCCCAGGTGCCTCACTGTCCAGGAGGGAGCCCAGGGGGCTGTGTGGGCCCAGAGGCGGGGCTGCTGCCCAGGCCAAAAGCCAGGGAAGGCTTCCTGGAGGAAGTGACATGTCAGCTGGGGCACACGGGCCAAGGAGAGGGAAAGAGAGACACAGGCAGAGGGCACAGCTGGAGCAAAGGCAGGTGGGGGAGGGGGGAAAAGGCACAGTCCCTGTCCTCAGGGATCCCAGTCCCAAGAGCTGCCAGGCATAGTTGAAGACAGTTATGAGTGACTGGTGGGAGCACAGAGTGAACCACCACCTCCGCCAGAGTCACTGGAGAGCGGAGGGACCAGGAGGGGCCTCAGAGAGGCTGTTAGGGCACCTCCCTCAGGATGGGTAGGATTCTGGGGGCTTCAAAATTGGGGTGAATGCATCCCAGAGGACTGTGGCTGGTCTCTTCAAAACTTCAATCCCCAAGTTTGATTTTCCTTCTCCTGTGCAGCTGCTCCAGAGACTGTCCAAGGCAGGCAGTGACCTCGCAGGAAGCCCAGCCCTGCCACTGAAAGCTGTACCGCCCTGGACGAGTCCTAGCCCCCTCTGGGCCTGGGTCCTCTCAGAGAGTTCAGCTCCCAGTCTCATTCAATCATGAAATCGCTTTCCCAGCCCCGTATTCCCTGGCAAGTGCTGCCACCTACTGTCTATTGGGAGAAATAGCTCCTAGGACCCCAGAACAGCAACAAGTCCCTCCCTTTTCACTCCCGTCCTTATCATGTCTCCTCCCAGGGGAGACCATGAGTCCTTGCAGGCTGTGGGTGGTGAGTGAGGCTGGTCTTGTGCAGACCATGCTGTGATTGACCTGCCTGAGCTCAGCTGCTGCTGCTACCCCAGCACGGCCTGAAATGTTCACTATTTGAATCACTATCTGGCATCAAAGGCCCCTATAAAGATCAAGAAACCAGGGGTGGGATGATGGAATTTGGTTAAATTCATCATCAGCAGAGAGGTTTTGAGTATGGCGTTAAAGTCAAGAGACAGTAATGAGATTCTACAGAAGAATCCTGATCAAAGGTGAGCATATGTAGAATAGGATTTCAAATTCTCATGAAATCCAGACTTTCTGGAGCCATGGAGGCTGGATGAACCCCTGAAACTATTGTCCTGAGATAAACTTTAAGCTTTAAACTGAAAATATTCCCTGAAGTCTTCTTAAAACCAACAGTTTAGCTTAACTAGTAAAGAATGTTTGCCTTCAAATAAGGGGCTAACCTCTTAAAATTTATAGAAAACTTCAACACCTTAACAACAAAAAGATAAATAGTCCAATTGAAAAAGGGTCAGAGGACATGTACAGACCTCACCAAAGAAGACATTCAGGCAGCCAACAAACCCATGAAGAAAGGCTCCTGCTCATTAGCCATTGGAGAGATGACAATCAAAACAACAGTGAGATATCATCTCACCCCAGCACTAACAGCAAAGTTCAAAAAAACAGAAAATGAAAAATGCTGATGAGGGTGTGGAGAGACTGGAACCCTCATACACTGCCAATGGGAATGCACTGAAATGGTGCAACCACTGTGAGAAGACACCTCCTTAAAAAGCTGAAAATAGGAATACCATATGATCCAGCAATCCCGCTACTAGGTGCATTCCTAGAGAAATAAGCCGTGACACAAACAGGTGTTTGTACACTCATGTGCACACTCAGGTTCAATGCATCACTATTCACAACAGCAAAAAGATGGAAGCAACCTAATTGCCCATCAACATCTCAACTACACAACGTTAAAGAATGATGATGAATCAGTGAAACATCTCATACCTAGAGGACATTACGCTGAGTGAATTAGTCACTCACAAAGGACAAATACTGTATGAGAACAATGTTGTAAAAAGTCAAGGGTTTCACACAAAAAGGAATATTCTTTGATGGTTGCTTGGGGTGGGAGGGGAGGGAGGGTAAACCACTGACTGGAGGGTAGACACACGTGTTAATTTGGGAAGGAGAGGCCAAAAGACAAAGAAGAAGAATGCCTGCCTTGAACACTGTGTTCCTTTAAGATCTGCCTAGGTGGGATCCCAAGCCATGGTATTTTAAGATCTGCCTAGGTGGGCTCAAATTGGCAACATAAACTTGAAGGATTAGATAGGAACCCTGGGGGGCGGTGAGTTTATGCGAATGGGGGAGGAACAATTCAGACAAGGAGGGTAAGAATGGTTGTACAACTTGAACAATGTACTTAGTGTTGCTGAATCGTACATGTAGAGACTATTGAATTGGTGTATATTTTTGCCATGTATATTCTCAACCAGGAGGCTGTCATTCGAACAGAACAAGGGGACACTGCATGGTTTAAAATCAGGAAGGGAATGTGTTAGGGTTGTATCCTTTCACCATACTTATTCAATCTGTATGCTGAGCAAATAATCTGAGAAGCTGGACTTTATGAAGAACGTGGCATCAGGACTAGAGGAAGATTCGTTAACAACCTGCAATATGCAGATTACACAACTTTGCTTGCTGAAAGTGAGGATGACTTGGAGCACTTACTGATGAATATGGAAGACTACAGGGTACAGTATGGGTTAGACCTCACTATAAAGAGAACAAAGATCCTCACAACTGGACCAATAACTAGCATCACAATAAATGGAGAAAGATTGAAGTTGTCAAAGCCTTCATATTGCTTGGTTCTACAATCAACGTCAATGGAAGCAGCAGTCAAGACATCAAAAGATGTATTGCATTTGGGCAAATCTGCTGCAAAAGACCTCTTTCAAATGCTGAAGAGCAAAGATGTCTCCTTGAAGACTAAGATGGCCTAACCCAAGCCATGATATTTTCAATCTCCTCATATGCTTGTGTAGCGTAGTGCCTAAGGCACTCGACTGCTAATCAGAAGGCTGGCAGTTCAAACCCACCAGCCATTCCTCAGAAGGAAGGTTGGGCAATCTGCTTCTGTAATGATACTGACTCAGAAACCCACAGAGGGGTCGCTATGAGTCGGGTCTGACTCCATGGCACATAACAACATATGCTTATGAGAGCTTGACAATGAATAAGGAAGACTGAAGAGGAGTTGATGCTTTTGAGTTGTGGTGTTGGTGAAGAATGCTGAAAGTATGGTGGACTGCTAAAAAAAACTAACAAATCTGTCCTGGAGGAAATGCAGCCAGAGTGCTCCTTGGAAGCAAGAATGGCCAGACTTCATCTCACCTACTTTGGTCATGTTGTCAGAAGGGACCATTCCCTGGAGAAGGATATTGTTCTG